GGCACGCTTATATATGCCTGTACATGCTATTTTGAAAGTATTTTGCATATATAAAAAATATAGGGAAAAATTGGGTATCAACATACCCCATAGGTGAACTTAGTTAATATGTGTTGTCATTTGTGGGGGCTACGTACGCACGAGGTGCCGAGAGTCCGTACGTAGCTACTATCATGTTTATGTACGGTTAGTTTTAGGTTTACACCATGCTTTGTGGACACCGCTATTTGATCATATTTGTTAATTGTATAAAATAGAACTAAGTTGAGGATTTTTAAGGATTTAAAAGTTTCAAGTTGAATTGTCTTTATTTTTAAACGAATCAAGAAAGGGTTATGATTTGTTGATAAATTTATATTTGACTGCGTCACATGTATGATTCGTGAGCGGGGTAATTCCTTCTACTATTCTCATGGTTCGTGCCGTTCAACCCTCGGCAGTACACAGTTTACGTTTATGTTGGATCGGGCCGAACGTCCTCGGTGGATTTTGTGTGTGACGATAGAATTGGAAGTCCCTTTTATAATTGGTATAAATTCATTGTTTGTGTGATCATATGTTTTAAATGGAGGAAGAGATTTAGGTTCTTAAATATGGTGAAGACTTGTTCAGTTATTTCTTGTTTTCGGTCTTATTGTTATGTATCATGCTTAATTCGAATTTAATATTATCATATTATTGGCCCTTAGTAAGTGACGAAGTCGACCCCTCATCACTACTTCTCTAGGTTAGAATAGATACTTACTAGGTACATATTATTTATGTACTCACGCTACACTTCTATACTTAATTGTACAAGATCTGAGGCAGGTGCATCTGGTTACCTGTCTGGTGCGCGGATTTGATCCCCATCTCGAGACTTCACTGTGAGCTGCCTTCAGAACCGTTCTGCAGCAGCTGGAGTCTCTCTTATGCTTTATTTTTCTGTCTATTTCCGTTCAGAGAGTAGGGTAGTATTCTTTTAAAGTTTCTACTAGATTGCCCACGTACTTGTGACACCAAGTCTTGGCACACACACTAGTAGACTTATCATCTTGGTATTGTTTACATGATTACAATTTGTACTCGTTACTTCCGTTTAAATTTTGTTACATTGGTAAATTTCTAAATTTTTTAACAAATGAAGAATTATTATCCACTTAGTAATTTATTTAAACGGAAAATCACTAGTTTGATAAGTGTTTTGGCTTGCCTAACAACGGTGTTGGGCGCCATCACGACCTACAATGGAATTGGGTCGTGACAAAAAGTTCTTTGAAAAATCGCCTCTAGGGTTTCAAGGTTTAAAAATTTGAAGAATGGACCAAAAATCCCGCCTAAGTCCCATTTAGATCAGTTGGAGATGTCGCATTTGCGACCTGGGATTCACAAATGCGAACCCCGCAAATGCAAAGAATCCATCGTAATTGCGAAGACCTTCACATTTTCTTCTTTCTTCGCAAATGCGAATAATAGTTCGCATGACCTTCCGCAATTGCGATCATTTGATCGCAATTGCGACCACTTTGTGCCCCAGCTCCACTTCGCAAATGCAAAGTTTTATCCGCAAATGAGAACACTAGTTCCCCGCAAATACAACCTCCTGATCGCAAATGCGAACTAAGGCTGGTCCAGGTACTCTTCGCAAATGAGAGCCTGTCAGCATGGGGAATGTTCCCAAATGCGAACATTGGTCTCGCAAATGCGAGATCAGATACCAGTTACAGAAATTGCAGAACCAGCTGAGTTCTAAGTCCAAATTTCACTCCGTAGCCTATCCGAAACTCACCAGAGCTCTCGGGTCTCTAAACCAAAAGTGCACACAAGTCTAAAATCACCATACGAACTTGCTCGCATGATCAAATTGCTGAAATAACACCTCAAACTATGAATTGAACACCAAATCATATGAAATTTTAAATAAAACTTTGGAACTTCTATTTTCACAATCGGATGTTCGAATCACGTCAAACCAACTTCATTTCTCACCAAATTCGACAGACAAGTCATAAATACAGTATTGGATCTATACTGGATTCGGGAACCAAAATACAGACCCGATATCCAAAAAGTCAAACATTGGTCAAGCATTTCAAAATCATTAAGCCTTTAACTTTCAAACTTCGATAAAGTCAATAACTCGGGCTAGGGACTTCCAAATTCGATTCTGAGAGTACGCCCAAGTCCCAAATCACGATACGGACCCACCGAGACCGTCAAAATACGAATCCGGGTCCGTTTTCTCAAAACGTTGACCGAAGTCAACTCAAATGGATTTCCAAACAAAATTTCATATTTTTATCAGTTTTTAACATAAAAGCTTAACCGAAACACGCTCGGACTGCGCCACGTAAATCAAAGAGAGATAAAATGAGGTGTTTAAAGCTTCAAAGCGTAGAATTAAGTTCTAAAACATAACATGACCTTTCGGATCATCACAGAGAAGTTCAAAATATCAATATTTTTTTATAGTCAAATGAAGATTATCGAATGAATTTCAAACCTGTTTACTTTACACTTATCGAGATTGAGAGTCAAAGAATTACCGAAAACTTCGAAACGAGGTGTCTTGCGGGATTAAGCCTACATAGGGACAAAATGAGTTTGGAGGAGCAAGAATCAAGGAGACTTGATCATTTGATTGAAATACATAAATTAAAAGTGAGATTTGATTTTTATAGTTCGTGGCAAATGTCATTTACTTATATGACTATTGGACTTTGTAAGATCATTTTCTTCTATTTAAATGGTAAGTGAATATAAAAGATCATTTCCTAAAAATATAAGGACTCTCCTTAATATACTTTTTTTTTTTTTTTGGGTAATTCTCCTTAATATACTAACAATGGAAGTGTACAAATAAATGAACCGTGGACCTATTTGTTTTACAAATTCAACCTAACTTAAAGTGGTCATTTCGTTGTTAATTTAAGATAGGATCAGCTACCACTCTTTCAAAAATGGGATAAACATATGATACACGTTATAACATGAATGGCGTGTTAACTTTACAACAAATGATATGAACTAACGTGACATCATTTGTAAAATCTTTATAACAAATTTGATTGTCTTTTTGTTACGCAGCATGATCTGCAATTTGTCTTGTAGTTAATTACGTGAAATCCACTACTTCTATCTATTCATCAGTTGCAAATATTTCTGCTGAAAACATCAAATGGAATTTATACCTATTTATTTATTCAAAAATTTGTATGATAAAGGGCTAAAAGTATGTACTATGTATTACCAAATAAAAAAGGAAAAAGCACTTGTATCTTGTACTTGTAAAGCTTTTACTACCTAGCTTTAGTACTACGCGCTGCTCAGTGGAAAACTAAATCCATAATTCTAAGTATAATTAGTTTAATATTAAAATAATCCATTAAATTAAAATTCTGAGTTCGTCAATCTATTTTTATCTTTAGTAGGTTAGTGAATCCGGAGAGGAGGAAATAAAAAATGAGAAGGGTCTTTGGTATAACTTGAATTCTGCAATTACAATCACCAAAATTGTATTCCCTATAAATATTTTTGGTATTAATGTAAAGATTAAAATATTCTTTTTGATTCTTTATTTTCCTTGAGAAAAATAATGAAGATAAAGTAACATAGATGTCAGCAAGATCTGTATGTGCAAAGTTGGTGTCTTTACAGCTGACTCTATTGTCTCAATCAACTTTGGGATTAGGTTAAAATAATATTTTAATGCAACGTAACGTTAGAAGATTAATATAATCATGTAATTCAACGTTAAAATTAATTATTTCTTTAGGGTGATTCAAAAATTGATCGTAACACAGTATATTAAGACTCGTGATCCAGGCAATCCAATCTTCCGTGTGTAAGGCGGAAGCCTCCAAAAATGATTTTTAAAAAATGGGTGATCAAAAGATCGAATTACTATGCCTATCTTGGTGGTCGTTACTTTTGATGGTCTTTCTTTTTGTCCTCTTCTTGTTCTGTTGATCATTTAGATGCGTCTTTTTAACAAGACGGAATATTTTGGAAAATTTGTTATATAATCTTTTTTATGTTTTTCAAAATTACATTCAATGAGATGATTTATAACTATATTAATGTTTATAACTTATTTTAGACTTTATATATTTCAAAAATCTTTCTTGGTTTTTCAAACTTCATGTCAATCAAACAACATTACATAATTTGAGACAGGAGTAAATATTTAGTACAATGTAGTGGCATTTATATATTTTTATTCCGAATATATAATGTAATTATTGAGAAATTTTGAATATAATGGACAGTACAAACAACAATAATTTTCACATTAAAAAAATACTCAGCCTACTAGCATGGGCAGGAGGAATCATCAAATCCCCTGATGAAGACACAGAAAAAATTGCCAAATCCAGGATCTGACAATTTAGAAATCAAAATCTTCCTTTTGGTAGCCAGAAAACTACGAAAAAAAAAAA